TATTTACATAATTAGCAACAAACAACTGGGAAGTGAAATGTAAACAGTACCATCTTATAACAGCATTATTGACAATAGCCAAAAGGTGAAAGCCACTTGAGCCCAGCCTGGGCAACATGGCGAAATCCCATCTCTACAGAAAATTAAAAAAACAAACAAAAAAAATTATCCAGGCGTGGTAGTGCACACCTGTAGCCCCAGCTACCAAGGAGGCTGAGGTTGGAGGATCACCTGGGCTCAGGAAGTCGAGGTTGCAGTGAGCCATGATCATGCCACTGCTCTTCAACCAGGGAGACAGAGTGAGACCCTGTTTGAAAAAAAAAAAAAAAAAAAAAAAAATGGTGAAAGCAATCCAAGTGAATGGATAAACAAAATGTGGTATATTCATACACTGGAATATTATTTAGCCTTTAAAAAGAAGAAAATGCTGACATATGCTATAATGTAAATGAATCTTGAATACATTATGCCAAAGTGAAATAAGCCAGTCAAAAAAGAACAAATACTGTATAATTCTACTTCTATGAGGCACCTAGAGTAGCTAAATCCATAGGGACAGAAGGTGAAATGGTAGTGATCAGGGGCTGAGAGAGGAGGGACAGGAAGCTGCTGTCTAATGGGTGCACGGTTTCAGTTTCACAAGATGAAAAAAGTTCTGGAGGTGGATGCTGGTGATGGATGCGCAACATTATGAATGTATTCACCACCACTTTAAGATGGTTAAAATGGCAAATTTTTTATTATGTATATTTTACCACAATTAAAAGTTTCTAAAAATAAAAAAAACAATACTACAAAGAAAAACCAGTATCATTTACAACAGCATAGAAATAGGTAATATTTAAGGATATGTGCGGCAGAAGATGGAAAAAGAGTGATATACCAAAAACTACAAAACACTGCTGAGAGATATTAAAGGAAACCTAAACACAGAGAGATACATTGTTCAAGGGTCAGAAGGTTCAATATTGCTAAGATATCAATTCTCCCCCAAATTGATCATAATTCCAATCAAAATCCCACAGGCTTTTTTGTAGAAATTGGCAAATTAATTCTAAAATGTATATGGAAATACAAAGAACCCAGAATAGCTAAAGCAATTTTGAAAAGGCAAAACAAAGTCTGAGATCTCACCATGATTTCAAGACTGACTATATAGTTTACAAACCCACAGTAATCAAGATAGTGTGATACTGGGATAAAAACAGACAAATAGCTCAATCCAGAACTAGACACACACAAACAATTGATTTTTTTTCTTTTTTTTTTTTGAGACAGAGTCTCCCATTGTAGCTCAGGCTGGAGTACAATGGCACAATCTCAGCTCACTGCACCCTCTGCCTCCTGGATTCAAGAGATTCTCCTACCCCAGCCTCCCCACTAGCTAGGATTATAGGCACCTGCCACCACACCTGGCTAATTTGTATTTTTAGTAGAAATGTGGTTTCACTATGTCGGCCAGGCTGGTCTTGAACTCCTGACCTTGTGATCCGCCTGCCTCAGCCTCCCAAAGTGCGGGGATTACAGCTGTGAGCCACCATGCCCAGCCAACAATTGATTATTGACAAAGATTCAAAGGCGATTCATTGGAGAGACACATCTTTTTAACAAATGGTGCTACTAGATCAATTAGACTTCTACTTGCAAAAAACTGGACATCGATTCACACCTTGCACCACATACAAAAATTAACCCCAAATGAATCATAAATCTAAATGTAAAACCCAAAACTATAAAACGTCGACAAGAAAACAGGAGAAAACTGTTGTGACTTCGGGTTAGGCAAACACTTCTTGGGCATAACACTAAAAATGTAATCCACAAAGTAACAGACTAGTAAATTAATTAACTAAAATTTAAAACTTCTCTTCAAAAACACACCATTTTGCATTATTGATCATGAGCATTTTTTTAGAAGACACTGTTAAAAGAATAAAATACAGGCCACAAACTGGAAGAAAATATTTGAAATCACATACCTGATAAAAGGCTTATGTCCATAATATATCAAGAACTCCTCAGAACTCAACATGAAAAAATCTCCACACAATTAAAAATGGGTGAACAATCTGAATAGACACGTCACCAAAGATATACACATGGCAAATGAGCACATGAGAACATGCTCAACAACATGAGTCATTAGGGAAATACGAATTAAAATCATAATGAGATACCACTACAGACATGAGAATGTCTAAACACAGAGACTGACCGTATCAAGAGGTGGACATATCAAAGATGTGTACAAACCAGAACTCCCATACACAGCAGGTGAGTATATAAAACACACATCCACTTTAGAAAACAGTCTAGCAGTTGCTTAAAAAATAAATGCAGGCCAAGCGTGGTGGCTCACACCTGTAATCTCAGCACTTAGGGAGGCCGAGGCAGGCAGAGTACCTGAGGTTGGGAGTTTGAGACCAGCCTGACCAACATATGGAAAAACCTGGTCTCTACTAAAAATACAAAATTAGCCAGGCTGGGTGGCACATGCCTGTAATCTCAGCTACTCAGGAGGCTGAGGCAAGAGAATCGTTTGAACCCGGGAGGCAGAGGTTGTGGTGAGCTGAGATCATGCCATTGCACTCCAGCCTGGGCAACAAGAGCAAAACTCTGTTTCCAAAAAAAAAAAATAGTTAAATGTATATCTACCACATGACCCAGCCATTCCAGTCCTAGGGATTTACCCATGATAAATAAAAGCATACATCCACACAAAGACTAAAAAACCATTCACAGCAGCTTTCTCTGTGATTACCAAAAACTGAAAACCCATCAACAGGTCAATGGATAAACAGACTTTGACACACGTGTGCAATGAACTGGTGATACATGCAACCACGTGGACAAACTCCAAAACACTTCCACTGAATTAAAGCCAGGTCAAAAAAAGAGCACATACTATTTGATTCCATTTACATTAGATGCTGCAAACTCAAATACAGTGACAGAAAGCAGACCAACCTGTTACCTCTGGTAGGGGATGGCAGAGGAGGGGCGGGGTGGAGGGACTCCACAAGGAAACTTTTGGGGACTGGGGAATACGGGAGATGTTCACTGTCTTGATGGTGGGGTTGGTTTCATGGGTATATAAGTAGGCTACATCTTATTAAATAGTATGTTTTAAATATGCTCAGTTTACCTCTGCCTCCCGGGTTCAAACGATTCTCTTGCCTCAGTCTCCTGAGTAGCTGGGATTACAGGCATGCGCCACCAAGCCTGGCTAATTTTGTATTTTTAGTAGAGACCAGGTTTTTCCATATGTTGGTCAGGCTGGTCTCAAGCTCCCAACCTCAGGTACTCTGCCTGCCTCGGCCTCCTGTCATTATACCTCAGTAAAGCTGTTATTTCAAACAAACAAACAGAAACACTTCATCTTCTAGAGGAAGCTCGAGGCAGCAGGCTAATCTCGGGCTTAGAGGCCACAGGAAAAGGTCTGACCATTCCTCCCCAACATCTGCTAGCCAGGGCTCCTAGGAGGTGGGGAAAGGTTCCAGATGGTCTGAGCTCTGTTCACTCAGGACACTGCAGGGGAAGCCCTGGCCCGCCGCACACACTAGGAAACTGAAACCTAGAGACATGATGTTGCCCAAGGAAGTTACGCAGCTTGTACACGATATAACCAGATCAAAAGCAATCTGTGTGAGGCCAAGGCCTTTTTCCTCCTATTCATCTACCACAAGTTCAAAAACGCCGACCTGAAATAAGGAGGTGAAGATCTGTGCTCCTATGTATGTGTTTAAAACAGACAATTCTCTCCACCGAAGCCAAGCAGTGAGAACCACTCTGGCCATTCCAGAAGCGCCAGGCACCGTGGGTGCAGCAGCTGAACTTCCGGTGCATGAGTGTTTGGGTGGCAGCATGACAGGCACGGGATGAAGCTGACAGACAGGTTTGAGTTTGTATGAGGAACAGGCTAACCGGCTCCTCCAGCAGCTGCTACCTCCAGCACCACTCCCTCTGCCCCTACAGGAGAGCACCCAATCTGGTTCGGGACGGGGGCCTGGGACCATCTGACTCACAGCCACACCTCGGGCTGGGGCAGTGAGGGGTCCCAGCTAAGGCCCTGGGCGGGCAGCAACCCTGCACCCATCCCCACCCAAGAGCCTGACAGTGCCAGGTAAGAGGCAAACAGCCCTAGGAGACCAAGACCCCCTGTGGAGGCGAGGCAGGATGAGTAGGCACTCAGGCCACCAGGTAGTCAGCAAGAAGCCAAATACAGCCACCACCCTTGACCCCTACAAGCCCTCTCTCTAGACTGGGCTGGGAGCAGCCCTGATGGGTGCAGAGACCATGATACCACAGCGGCCCATCTGCAAACCTCCCCAGGGTTGAGTCCTGCAGCGCCAAGGCACCCTTCCTCTCCTGCCCCTTTCAAGTTGGGGTCGTGAAGTCCCACCCGGAGACGGGAAGGCTCACCAGTTGCTCTCCATCCTTCTGCCCACTAATCATCCTTGGCTCTGGGCCGTCAGGGTCAATCAGCTGTGACAGGACGCGCGGAGGAGCAGGTCAGGTTCGTGCCGTGCCCAAGCCACTAGCTGTCACACTCACATCTCAGCTCACGTGACCAACAAGGTTACAAGATAAGGTTCTGTTAATCCCACACCGCCCTCTTCCCTTATGTGGAACGTGTTTTGAGGACTTGAGGCAACCTGTGTTGATTGCAGCATGCAGAATACCGCATGGAGGAACCCCTAATGCCATCGGCGGGCAGGTGGACAGCTGACTACCCCTCTGTTCCCTCTGCACAGACCTGGCAGCCACCCAGACGTCTCGCCTGCTACCTCGACTCTAAGATGATGCCCCATCACTCCAATCGCCATACACAGTGCAGAGGGTAAGGGGTGGCGGGGGAGGAGGAGGTCCTGCCTCACAGCTGGAAACTGCACTGCTTCCTCCCTCGAGGGCTGGAAGGCCGAGAGAACAAGGACAGTGTGGGGACCACCCTCTCGCCCCCAAGCACACCAGCTCCAGCTAGGGGAACTGGGCTTCCTTACCTGCGCCTTCCGCCGCCTCCCCGCAGACACAGCTTCGGCGACGCCCAGGCTGAGACAGCAGAAGACGTTCCCGCGGGCCGCGGCCTGCCCTCAAGCAGTGGCTCCCAGCGCGCCCCGCTTCCCCGCACGCTCCGGCTCCCGACCCCCGACGCCCCTACATCCTGCGTTCCCTTCCGTCCTGGAGAGACCGCGGGGCCGCGCCAGCCAGCTACCACCTCCTCCGCCGTCGGCGCCGCCGGGGCCTGTGCCCCTCGTGGGGCTCCTCCCCCTCCTGGGGCTCCTTCCCGTGCAGACAGGTTTCCTGGACAGCCCGCACCACCTGTCCCTCCTGCACCCCGGGAAGCCAGTTCGCCTCCTGCACCCCCAGGCGCCCCTCCCCCGCAGGCCCCCAGGGCCCCACCGGCCGGGCCCTCCCGACCAGCTCTGCGCGGCTTCGGCGCGCCGGGGCCGCCCCCAGGACCACCGCCTCCCGCCCGACGCTCTCCCACGGCCGCTCCCCCAACTCGCCCGAACTTTCCGGCCCCTCCCCGCGCTCGCGGGGGCCGTCCCCGGCCTCCGGCTCGGGCTGCCGCGGCCGCCTCCGCGGGCTCCCCTCCCCGCGCTCCTGCACCCCGGCCCGGGCCTCGCCGCGCTCCTGCACCGCGGGGCTGCCCCCGCCCTTCTCCTGGTGCTGCCCGCGGGGCCCCAGCCCCTCCTCCTGCGCCACAGGCCAGCGCGCCGAGCCCGGCCACCGCGGCGGGCGCCCCCGGTCCGCGCCGTCCGGCGGCCCCCACAGCGCCCCCAGGCCGGGCTCGAGGCCGCGGCCGCCGCGCTCCTGCAGCGCCGGGCCCACCCCGCCCTCCTCCTGCAGCGCCGCGCCCACCCCGCCCCGCTCCTCCACGCCGAGCCTCAGCCCGCGGAGCTGCTGCGGGCCCCAGCTCAGGACCCCGACGCGCGGCGGCTGCTGCTCGGGCAGCGCGGGGCTGAGCCCGCCACGCTCCTCCTGCGCGCCCCGCCGGGCGCCCCCGACCCGCTCGGCCCCGCGCGCTCGCCCGCCCCCCAGAGGCCGCGCGCTCCCGCCCCTCCAGATGGTGCTGCCCCGGCCCCGCTCCCCGCGCCGCCGCCCCGGGCCTCCCTCCCGCCCCGGCCGCCCCCGAGTCCCGGGCCCGCCTCCCCGCCCTCGCCTCCGGGCGTCAGCGTCGCCCCGCCGGGGCCCTCAGGGGAACGCCCGCCGCGCCGCCGTCCCTCCGGCCCGAGCGCCCCGGGCCCGTCTGCGCCTGCGCTGCCCAGCGTGGGGGCGGGGCGTCCCGCCTCTTAAAGGGCCCGGCCGCGTCGCTCCTCCCCTCCCTCCGCCCCCGGCCTCCCGGGCCCCACCCCGCGGCCCCCTCCCCCC